TTACATACAGTTTTACACAGTGAAGCAGATTGCAGTCCCTCTAACGCAGTGATATTCATGGATTGCAGTCATATTCAAGGATTGCACTATTAAAATGAGCGTAGCTATGGGATTCTTATAAAACTGTAAAGCACACACTGGCCACAGTTGGTGCAGGAGTTTAGTAGGAAGTGGAGGTGTTTGTGCATAGGCACAATGGTAACCATTCCGAACCTGCATGTTAAGGTGAAGAAAAGTCTGTAGCATCTGTCAGGCTAGAAAGATAGGAAAACCTACAGTTAGTCTTGTATTCTAGTAACTGGCTCAGACAATGGGAGCAGCACATCAGAGGCCTAGCCATTGTCAGGTTTTTTTTCCTAAGGTATCACAGCGAGGGTGAATTTTGAAGGAAGGTTCTGAGATAGCTTTGTGAAAATTTGCAAGAAACTTCTGCAAGAGTAGGGGGCAATATGGGAGAAAACACAGAAGTGCTTGATTTGAAAATTTAACAAGTGGGCAATGGAGACTGGCCCTTATAGATTAATCGGAGGCAGGAGTCCACATTTTGATAAGGAACAGAAAGTAAGTAGGGTGCAGTTAGGCTACAAGGGATATAACAAGTATGTTATCTTTTTTGTCATTAAGAAGGGGGGAAACCAGTATAGGAATTTGAAGAAAGGAGCAAGAGTCAAAGTGGGCTAGGTAGGAGAATAATCTTTGCAGCAGCATTCTGAATGGATATGAGCAAGGCAAGATTGCATTTGTCAGAGTTAGAGAGAAGGTTGTTGCCATAATTGAGACCTGAGATGATCAGAGTCTTGATAGGAGTTAGCTGTATGAGTAGATGTGGAAGGTCTTGTCTTGGAGATGTTATGCAGAAAGGATGAGAGGTTTGGACGTAGCCTGGATGTGAGGCCCTGGAGAGAGATCAGAGTCCTAGATGATGCCCAATTTATGGGCAGGGTGACAGAAATATGGTAGTTATGCCTGTAGTGCTCAAGAAAAGAGATGAGCATGATGACTTGGGTGGAAGGGAAAAGTAAGAGGTCTTTTTAATCCATGCAAAGTGGAGTTGAGCCAACTGCTCTGTAGACCAGAATCTCACCAGTTGTAAATTGGTGTAGTTCTATTGACTATATTAGGGTTATATCAGTATCCACCACCTGAGAATCTGAACTAAAAACTCCTCTTGTCATTCTGTAAAAAGGACTTACTGAGGTTGTTTGCCTTTATCTCAGTGTTGTTTAGCTTTACTAATACTTCTCACATGATTTGGGACCCTCAGGTAAAATATGCTATGGACTTGTAAAGTTCACTTATTAAAGGACTAGAAAGATTTTTTTTTTTTTTTAAGATCTAATGTTACATATCTTAGTTTTTGCTTCTTTGGTTATAAACCAAGAGTACTTATATTTCTCTCTCATATTTCTCAGCTAGTAATGATAAAGTTGATGTTATTGACCTTTTAGCCTCATGACCATTAGGTATGAGGTTTACTATCCAAATGGACTAGATATAACATGGACATCATAAAGTATTTTTAACCATAACTCAAAGAATTGTAATGACTTACAATCATTGAACTAGATGGAAGGAGTACAGAGAAAAGTTGTAATAAAATCTTAAATGTCCAAATGCTACTAACTTTATTTTGTGTTTTTAATTGCTATTTTTATGATTAAACGAAGGAATATTGGCAAAAGCCACTAATATTTAACACTTCCATCCTAAATTCAGTTAACCTTCATGTTCCTTTTTTATTTGATAAAAGATAGCATGAGTCCTATTAAAGAACAGATGTCATCTTTGCCTTCTACTTATTTTCCCCAGAGACCATTGTCTATACTGAGACAATATAACCATCCATGACTTGTTTTTCCTGTGCACTGCTTCCCTGTTCATTTCATATCTCATGAATACAAATAGTCATTCTTTGTGTTAGCTTACAACTTTACTTTACATCCGAGTGAAGGGAAGGAGAATAAACATATGGGCTGCGTCTAGTCTGGCATGATTTTGCAGAAATATTTTTAATGGAAAAGTTTTTCCGTTAAAAGTATTTCTGCAAAAGAGCATCTAGATTGGCACGGATGCTTTTGCGCAAAAAGTGTTTTTGCGCAAAAGCATCTGTGCCCAGTGTAGACGCGCTTTTGCACAAGAAAGCGCCGATTAGCTATTTTAGCCTTCAGGCTTTCTTGGGCAAAAAATTAAGGTGCCTGTCTACACTGGCCCTCTTGCACAAGTATTCTTGCACAAGAGGGCTTATCCTTGAGTGGGAGTGTCAAAGTCTTTGCACAAGAAGCACTGAATTCTTACATTAGAACGTCAGTGCTCTTGCGCAAATTCAAGTGGCCAGTGTAGACAGCTAGCAAGTTTTTGCGCAAAAGCAAGTGCTTTTGCGCAAAATCTTGCCAGTCCAGACGCACCTATGTTGTCTGACAGAAAATCTTGTTTGTTTGTTTTTTGTTTTTTTTTAACTTATGCTGGTGACTCAGATCTTGATGCAGGATCTAAGGCCAAGTCTACACAGAGAAAATCAATGCAATATATGCAACTCCAGCTACATGAATTGCATAGCTGGAGTTGACGTACCTTGCATAGATTTTTCAGGGGGCCGCTCCACAGTGGGAGGTCAACTGGAGAAACCCTTCCATAGACTTCCCTTATTCCTTGTGACAGCAAGGAGTGCCAACGCTGATGGGGTGCTATCAGCATTCAAATTAGTGGGCCTTTGCTAGAGCGTTGATCCTCCAGTAATTGGAGATGTGGCTCAGAATGTATTTTCAGTGTATATACTTAACTCCTTACACGGTATCTTTACATATATATCACAATGATACTATTAATCGGTATAACCCCAGCTTTCAGTTAAGACCTCACAAGAGATTCTTGGTAACCAGAATGTACAGACCAGAATCAGGAGATTCTTGTAACCACCTGCCTTGCAGTTGGTGTTAAGAAGCTCTTGAGTCATGTTCACCTATCCCCTATAACAGTCATTTTAAGATCAATGGATTTAGGCATGAATTAGAGCAGTCTTCAAACTTGCAGTAGCAACTGAATGAACCTTCAGGCAAACCTGCATTGGGGAAGAGGTACGCGAGGGGGGGAAAAGAGAAGTGGTTAAACCAGACTGAGCATTGGACCCATACTCTTCAACATTATCATGTAGGTTTGGTAAAACGAAAAAGTTCTTCATAGCTTCTTAAGCCAAACCCTTTACTACTTAGGGGAAACCACAAGGATCTGGCCCAGTATTAATGGACTTGTTTATTTAACTGCAGCTGAAAACAACTTTAAAAAAATGCTGACAACCAAAGCACTCTGGTGTTCTGTTAATATGCGATCCAGAAGTGAAACTGGCTAGAAACTGACTGCTGTAGTTTCACCATTCATGCGAAGTATAAAAGTAAATAGTACAATAAGGATAAGTGTAAATAAGATAACTTCTCTTCATTTTCATGTCTAAGATGTGCTAGGTAACATCGATAATGATTTTTTTTTTAAAGGGCTCATTCTACTGACATCAATTTGAGTTGGAGTTTTGCTATTGACTTAAAGGGGAACAGATTTACATCTATATAAATAGTATGCTTTTTAAAATCAAATATAAAAATAATAATGGCAAAAAAGAGTTGTTATTTAAAGTGTTTCGAATAGATCTTGAGTGTTTTCTGAGGACTGTTAATATCATTTTGGCATTTGTGGGTTTTTTTGTTTTGCTTGTTTATTTTGAAGTATTTCAACTTCAGAAGAAATAAAGTGGTTATAAGGAAGCACTCATAGAATTTGTCTCTCCACATCTAAGGACTTTCAGCAAATCAGGAACAGTTTCTTCTGAACATCTCAGTCTGACGCAGAACTGAGATATTTAACTTTCTGTGATAATGACAGTTGTGCATTTTCTTCTGCTAAGCAATGCCCCCAAAACTAAAACTTGAATTGTAACTGTTGGATAAACTCAAGTAGCAGGTAGGGAACAATACCAAAAGATCAATACACTGTAGCTATGCTTGTGTATTGTGATCTCAGTTTCATTCAAATCAGCCCTCCAGAGAACGTACAGGAAAACAGATAGTTGACTAAAGGATTTCCTTTTGGGTGTTTAGTGACATGTCTGGTTTCCGCAATGTTGACGTTTTGACCTAGGGAATGTATCTGCCAGGATGGAGATTAAGCCGTCAGAGGAATGCATCCTGATTCAGCAGTAGGGGGAAGGAAGGATGGTTGTCAGTTAAGCTGTTTGGTTTATGAATATGTATTCATGTGTGTATGAATTGATACATATTTTTCTGAATAAATTTAATGGTTGAACTGACCCCACTGGTAGCTGAAGTACTTGCTGCTCACTGAACTTTGTCCATTACTTTGGCAGTTAGCAGTACTTTGAATGTATGGTAACTGATAGCTTCTATCCACACCACTTTCCACCCTACTAAGGATGAGGGAATAGCTCAGTTCTCATACTAATGCATTTATGCCAGATGAATACTTCACAGAAACACCAAAATCAGCTGTTTCAGCAAAAAATATGAGGAGTCCTGTAACAACGTAAAGACAAATGTATTTGGGCATAAGCATTCATGGGATATAGTAATGTAACCAACCCATCTTTGCATGTGTACATATACCTGCTAAACGGAAGCTTCCACTCCATGTATCTGACAAATTGGGTTCCAGCCCACAAAACTTATGCCTAAATAAGTTTGTTAGTCTTTAAGGTGTCTCAGGACTACCCCTTGTTTTTACCAAAGTGAGCAGCACCTTTATTCACACAGTTGGTGTTAATGTTCTTAATTAAGCATCCATTAGCAAGTGGGCTGAAATCAGATGATTCCCAAAACAGTCATGGAATGTTAATAGCTTTAGTTCTCTATTAATAGAGTACCTATTTGAAATATTATATAAAGACCAGATTAGTAGTTTCTAAACATTTAAATACTAGTTTTCTGAATTAGGCCTATTTTTACATACTGTATTTGGATTAATGCCATCTTTCCCCTCTCCTCCTGTTGATGCAGGAATCAGGACTTAAAAGAGCTGGGAGAACTTGCTCCACATTGGGACAATATGCGTAAAAATGTTATTGCACACTGTGAACAGATGTTGAACATGTACCAGGACACGTTAGCAGATCTTGGGAAACATACAGGTATGGAAATAGTCTCTATCCTCCACGAGAGGTAATGAATATCTTGTGTAATGGCTATTTCACATTTGTATATTCAAAGAGAATTTAACATAATCCACAATGGGAGTGGTTGTTGAGAGGAGAGACTGTATATTAAGTGTATAAGTTGCATGTTGCAATGGGATTCAGTTAGGAGTTACACACCCAAATCCTGTCATGTTACTAAAATTTCTGCATTTAATTCCCATATAAACAACTCTGGAAAAATTTAGTAGTTTGTTCTTTCAACATTTCTGTAACACTTAGTAGTACCCTACTTCTGAGCACATTTCCTGGCAAAAAGTGAAGTTTGCACTGTCTTTCATGCACCTCAATTCACTTTCAATTCACATTCTCATGGCATATAATCAAACAAACAGAAGGTGAAGAAGTGGACAGTAATTTTTAATAGGGGGCACTCCAAAATTTTGGTAGGTGGTCAAGGGCCACACTTCTGTGTAGGGGGTTCAGGGTCTGGAACAGCAGGTGGGGTGTAGAAGGGAGCTTGGGATAGAGCTTTGGGGTGCAGGAGGGGAGTATGGGGTCTGAGAGGGAGTTTGGATGAAGGAAGGGGTTCAAATCTGAGGCAGGGGCTTGGGGTTCAGGGTCCAGGAGGGGTAATAGGTACAGGAGAGGATTCTGACCTGCTGGGAGGGGTGTAAGAGGGTATGTAAGGTCTGGGAGGGTGTTGTGACCTGGGAGAAAGGGGGTTCAGAGGGCTTGGGTGGTGACGTAGGGCAGAGGAGTGGGGTGCAAGGTCAGGGAGGGGTATGTGTGCAGAAAGGGTCCTGGCCTGTGGGATGAGGGTGTGAGTGGTCCAGGGTCTGGGATGAAGTTGTGACCTGAAAAAGATAGAGAGAGGGGGTACAGAGGGTTTGGGTGGTGGCCTGGGGCAAATACTTTGGGGGAAGGGAGGAAGTTGGGGTGCTGGAGGCAGGCTCTGGCTGGGAGGCACTTACCTAAGCGCCAGCAACTCTGCAGACTCTGTGCCTGCGTGCTGGGAAGCTGCTCCACATGGCTCTGTTCGAGCATAGGGAGTGGGGGGAGAGGGGAGTGAAGAGGCTTAATTTTCTGCCCCTGCCTTCAGCAAAATTTCTCAGCTCCTAATGGCCAGAAACTAGCCAATGGGAGCTTGGAGATTTTGCTAGGGGATGGGGACAGTAGGCAAAGCTTTCTCCTCCTGCCCAACTTACAAAGCAATTAGCAGCCTGCTGTTTAAAGCAGCTGCTTCTGCTATGTAGTAAGGGTGTTAGTGACGCGGCCACTGGCTTGGCAGGCTAGTTCCATCCAGCTAGCTGCCTCTTTCCTACCCCTGGCATACAACGTCTTCATTCCAACCAGCATGTCACTAAAGATATTAAAGTGTAACAACAAAATTGGAGCCACCTTTTCAAGAACATCTGTCAAAGGGGTTGATTTAAGAGGCATATCAGCTAGCAGCAAATCCCATATTTCTCCTCCCTGATGTGTTAGAGGCATTACCCACAGTGTGCCAGGAAAGAATTGAACTCTTTGACTGGGCACCCTGTCATCAGACATTTTCTGTATGTTACCATGACAGGTATAAAGGTTCAATTATTTGCAACTCTCCCTTTGCCATTCAGGAGGCATTGTATGCTGGTATGAAGTGCCAAGGATAGTTGGCTTAACACTGGCTCTGTAAGCATACTGCACAGCACTTGCTCCATAGACTGCAGTGCATAGAGGGGAGTTTGTCCATGTAAAACTCAGTATATCATCTGTGACAAATTTGCTGTGTTCCACATGCAAAGGATATTGGCCATTTTCTCAACCAGCAAAACTCACCCCAAATGAGAGCTGAGCAAGTAATGCATAATTTACTCCTTCAGTTAACATTTTTGGCAATTCACAATTTGTCCACGTACAGATTCCAATTGTCTAATTTACCTGACATTCAGTATTATTTCCTGAATATCATTATTGTTTATTATACTTGTTTAATGCCTATGATAATCTCTGGAAATTAGGTTTGGGCACATAGATTGTTTCTGGGTAATTTGTTCCGAGTATTCAATAATTTAACATTTTGGTTTGTTATGAATGGATACATAGGTCACATAATTGTTTCTGCTTTCTCTCTGAATGAGTGGAATGCTTAAAAGCCGGTTTCAGGTGTCCATATGCAGATCTAGATGCTTGAGATTTGCTTTCCAGGTCTATGCTGCATTAGTCACTTTAAACTTGCTATTTCAGCAAACAATCCCAGCAGTTAATGTGTTTGCTAAGGGTCCAGTTCTACAATTTGCTGTACATATGCTGGCTGCAGATCCCCATTAAAATCAGTGGGTCTCTGTGTGGGTACAGGCAGCATGCCCACAGAATATTTGTGGGAAGTAAATAGAATAGGATCTTGAGCAGTCGTATGGAAATTTCATTTAAAAATTCCTATCAACTATTTGAGAGTTTTTGAAAGTATTTACCCAATTCCATCTCTAGCACCTTTGGTTTTAGTTAGTGAAACTGCCTCTTATTTACACTGAGAGAAACTGAGTAACCACAGTTTTAAAGTGAATGTTTATTACAAACAATGCACAGCAGAATAATTTCTTTCTGTGTGCTGAACAGGACACAAGTAATTATAACATAATTGTTACCCGGTGTAAAATATTTCTGAGACAAGTATTTCTTCTCCAAAATATGAAAAAAATCACTTGTACCATTTTTCCTTCTTTCCTTTCAGTACTGAGCATGCTATAACACTAGAGTGGATTATATTTACTTACACACGCTTTGTCTCTTTCCTTCCCCCTCCTCCCACCCCCACACACTTGCACGCTAACACCCATAGAACCTCTGTTCAGAATAACTTTCCATTAGACTAGATGCTGTATAAACATCAGAGAATTGTTTGTTTGAAAGTGCAGGGGAAGAGGTTCCATTAGGCAAAAGGTTCATCTGCCATCATCTCAAGTATTTGGTACTGGCCATTGTTGTTGAAAGATTACTAGAACAGATGACCCACAAGTGTGATCCATTATGGCAATTCCTATGTTCCTTTGTTTGAGTCCAGACACAGTTTTTGAATTACTTTAACTGCATTTTGAAGGTGTCCCATATATCATCATACACAAAGCAACAAACACAGAATTATTATGAAGTCAGTAGAAACACATAGCACTTTTAAGAAAACTTCTCCTTTTCAAGATAAAAAAGAATATATCATATTAAACGTAAATCTTGAAAAATCAGTAATATGGAAACTACATTTGAGCACCTTGGTGAACATAGTTCAGTGGAATCACTGAAGTGTGTCATACGCCATAGACAAGTAACCACACAATATTTTGTTGTAACCGTTTTAATTTCTTCACTTCATCTTCCTCATTATTTTTTATTTTCACTCATTGAATCACATGTAAAATTAAGCTCTTCGGGGTAGGGATCGTGCCTTTGTATTTGCTCTGAAAGTCAGTAGCACTCTTTGAACACTGAATGTATATTATAATATTATATTACATGCTGAGATCCCAAATCTGCATTGTAGTCTCTCGGAAAAGGGATGTAAATTAGACACTTCGAAATTGCAAATGAAGCTGGGATTTAAATTTCCCACGCTTGATTTGCACAATGGTAGCCAGATTATTTTTGAAATAGGGCTCTTTGAAAGAAAAACAGCCATTTAGACGGGGATCGATTGAAAATAAAACCCTTTTTTGAAAGATCCTGTACTCCTCAGGAGTCTAAACAGCTGTTTTTCTTTTGAAAAGCCCCGTTTTGGGGAGGGGGGGCGACCCATGGCTGCCATTATGCTTTATTTGCAGTTTCAAAGTACAGTAAACTTCCGATAATCCAGCACCTTTAGGACCCAGGGGGTGCTGGATTATCAGATATGCCGGACTATCAGAAGGGGGGGCTATGAGGGGTCTGGAGTAGGGTGGAAGGGGATGCCACCCCAGACCTCTCATAGCCCCCCCTTACGATAGTCTGGCTCTGCCCCAGGCGTCCCTGATTCAGCCGCTGCTGGTCAGTTTCAGCAGCAGCTGGGTCC